TCAACAAATGAGAAACGTACATATAAGGTGGTTTTTATGAGATAAATGCCGCTTGTGAAAGCATGCAAGGCAAAGAGACACGCGGAAACGCAGCTTTAGTTGCAAGCTAAGTTGATACTTAATGCAGGTGCTTTTGATGTTGACCCGACAAGAGCGCCACATATGTTCTGAAGCGTGGGTTGTGCCTAGGAAAATAGTAAGCCACCAGCAGCGCAAAAATAAAAATCACAGCTGCAGAATGCTCAGCAGCAGCCAAAGCCGTAGCTACCTGTGGTGACGTGTGCAACTGCGCCTTTAAAGGAAAGCGTGCGTACGCAAACTCAAAGACCCATTTGACCCACATGCTTTGACAGCTGGAGCGAGCGCCTGGCTTAGAGAAATTGTTTGGCTGGCTGGCTCAATGGCAGGCGGAGCTCGAAGCGGCCCTCATGGGCTCGAAGCTGGCAGGGATGCCCAGGACGTCAAGGCAATGAGGCAATGAGGCAATCAATATCAAGCAGTATCAAGCAGTGAGGTTAGATGTTTGCGTCAGAGGCAGAGATACGGACACAAGACACCGATACACGGAGACACGACGATCGTCAGGCTTGCGCGCCGTACTGGTGCACGCGTCAAAGGTCTTAACGCAGACCTGTGGCGTTGCTCGAGGCGTTGTCGCTGCTGGGAAACGCCCTGTGCCTGGACCAGCTTGAGAGCAGTTCCTGGCGCGGAGCTTGGGCGGGTCAAGAAAGTTCAAGGCAATCGTTTTGAGTTGAGCTGGGCCCAAACCCTTGGCCCACGTGGAAGGGGCGGCTACTTTCTGGTGTGTCAGCAGTTATTGTGAGGCTCCACGCAATTATGCGCAGACCGTTTTGCCTCAACGGTCCTGTCATCGCGCGTTTTGTTGGAGCGACCCCCAGCGACACTTTCTAATCCCAAAAACGGGGTCAGGGATGCGTGGTAGGCCCTTCACTTCCTTGGAGCTGCGGCTTCTTGCCGAGAGCCTTAGACTGCGTGCGCTTGGCAGATAGAGCGAGTGTAGGCCTCAAGCGAATTTCTTGCCCGCCGCGTGTCCACTTTACAGAAGTTAAATCTCACCTCTAGGCAGGGGTTTGAGCTGCCAGCAACCTGTGCTGCTCACAACCCGCAGGTCAATTGTTGATGTTGCAAGATAAGCGACTCCTGGCAACATGCTTGCATATTTGTTGTGTTGTTTGATTTTTTGAAGTGCTTTGATTGGTGCGTTGTTCGTGTAAGAACAATCTTCTCGGCCCAGTCGCTCCTTTCGCGCCGAGGAAGAGGACTTAACTGCAGAGCTGGCGGATGTGGCTGGCCAGGTGGCCGGAAATTCTGGTTGCGGCATTCTTGATTTTAACGCTCTTGGCATTGATTGTTAAAAAAGTGATTTCCAGGAACTTGAACTCGGGCGGGCGGGAGTGGCTGGAGCGAGCTGGGCTGGACATGACGGAGTTCAGAATTTGCTGACTGCTGACGGAGGAGGCCGCGGCAAAACCGCCGGTGTGCCCAAACTGAGCAGAGAATGTGGAAAGCATTTAGGGCCGACAAAAGGGGGGGTTACATCGGCTCAAGGCGCGTGACCTTCTCCTCCACAACATCCAACGCGTCCCCAAAAAGCCGCAAGAGGCTGCGCGGGTGTATGAAATGGTCGCGCAAAAGAACGAGCCAGAACAGTGCGCACGCCGGCAACTCCCGGCGAGCAACGCAGTTGGCGCGGGCAACCTTGACAGCGCTGAGAAGCACGCCGCCGCTAGCTTCTTCCCGAACGTCGCGCGCAGTCACTAGCAAGCGAAGTTGTCGTGCAGCTTGGCCAACTCTATAAGCACCTTGGCTGCGAAAAGTTTGAAGTCTCACGGAAGTCTCACTCTCTCAACCTTTCAGCTGCTTCTGCAAGGTGCGCGGAGGAGCAGTTGAGAACGCCCAGAGCTTGGACAATTCGCGCGGCCCTGCCTGCGCCGCTTGTCCAAGACCTAAGTTTTGGGCGTGCGCTTTTCAGGTCAAGCCGCAAAAGCAGCAAACCCCCTTCAGAGTTGGGGCTGGGCTTAAAATTGGGCTGCTCCTGGCTTTTACGCCACGCAGCGAACTGGCCCATGCGACAGCCGCCAGCGCCTGGCTGAAAACAAGTGCTTGCTGAGGCTCTCGCTAGAGGGTTGCCGCAGCTGTCCTGCTTGTGCTGCTCTCGCTTGCTTTCCGCGCGTCAGATCAACTCCGGCGTGCTACCCGCCGGGTCAACCTGCAAGAAAAACTGGTGGATGATGTTGCGACTTCTTTCCGGTTGACGCGCGGCACGCGATTCAGCGTGGGCAGAACAAAAGCGCCTCTTTCTCTTCTACCGCTTGGGTGCTGACGCCTGGCCCTTGCCTTCCGCTTGTTTGAGGAGGCCCGCCAGGCCAAGTTGTCGACAAAGCGCCACTACTTCAGACATGTGGGGGGAAGACTGGGGCTAAGTGTTGCTTCAGAGCTGAACCTTCAGGGCCTCCCTGTCCCTCGAATTTCCAGCGCTCGAGCTGGAGTACGTTCTGAAGCATCACCGGGGACTGCCTTGAAGAAGCTGCTTCCTCCCAGGCCCGAGTAAGCTGTTTGCGCGTATGTCCAACAGGTTCGACTAACATTCCAAGTGTTGTTCCGTTGCCAGCCTGCTTTTGGCAAGTGCCATCTCTCCCGTGCTGGGCCTTTGACGTTGCCAGCCTTCAAATTTGGTCTTCAGGGCCTTCCACAAGCAGCAGCCAATTGACTTTTGAATTGTGGCCCCTGCTATGCTTATGCTGAAGTCCCTTTCCGGGGCATTTGTCCTTACCTGCTGTCTTCCGGGCCCTGAATCGGACAGTTTCCTTTTCAGTGTTTGCTGACCATGTTGGCCCTTCCTTGCAGGAGTGTCTTGTTCCAAGCCGTCGTGTCCGAGTCCGGTCGTTTTTCTGCTCACGCTCTTACTTGGGAGGTGGCCAGGTGCTGCAGGCAGAGTGGGCGACCGTTGAAAGAAACTCGTGCTGTTTTGGCAGCTGGCTTGGGTGGTGCTGCAGTTTGGCTGGAGAGCGCCGCGCGGTTTCGCCGACAATGGGTTTGCCCATCAGTTGCACGTCTTGAAGACTACTCGCTGGCCCACTTGGAGTTGGGCTGAGTCTGGGGAAAGAACCCAGACTCTTGGAGCCAAGTAGTATACACGTTGGCGAGAGGCAGGGGTCAGCCCTGCACCAAAGCCACCAACAATCATGCCGGGTCGTCATGGTTCGAATGTCGTATGACAGTTCTTGGCCTTGGCGCGTGAGAGAGACAGAGACAACCTGGTCCGATTGAAGCAAGGCTTTGGGACCAAGGGGGCGCTTCACAGCAGGTGACGGAGAGTTGGCGGTGGCCACTGCTGGCTGAAAGGCGAGAGACTCAGTCCGCAGCTTGGTCGTCGTGTTGCCAAAGAATGTGAGGAGTCTTGACACAAAAACTCATCGCGCCAACCCTGGCATGACTGTATTTTCTACAGTAGGGCATCATTGCAGAGAGTCAGGAACAATGTTCTTTGCATCGAAAAACTTGACAGGCCTGCGCCAGAAGCCTCGCAATTGGTCATGGCCCGGGTGCCAAAGTCTCCACCAAATTGCGATGTCACACTGCAGCTGCGCGGCAGGCCTGTCAAATTGGGCCAAATGACCCAAGGGCTCAAGCCAAGGTTCTGAGCTCCTGGAGCGCAGTGCTAGATCAGGCCGAGGCGCAGTGGCGCATGAGTAGCAATATCTTCTTTTTTTTCTTCACCCCATCCAAGGCTCTTGTTGCTGCCAGCAAATGAGCGGATCAGTGCGCATGAGGAGTTAGCCCGCCGAGATCTTGCTCAGGCGCCTTAGCACTTATGAAAGGCTTAAGGAAAAGCGAACAAAGACAGAGCCAGTGCCAACAACCGAGATATGGTGTCGTGCCAAGCGGTGTTTCCCTCCCAAGCCTCCCGTCCAAATGTGAGATTCATCATACATTAGCAGCTTGGCGATTGTGAGGGGAAGGAGGCTCCTCGCTTCCTCAGGTAGCTGATTTGAACGTGGTGGCCATCGGTGACCATGCTACGGCCACACTAGATGCCCAGTGCTCGGTTATAGTACAGGAACCCTGTTGCGGATTCGTCACTGTGTAGATGTTCTATGAATTTTAAGCAAGCAGGTGAGGGCTTTCCTTGGTCAGTGCAAATACATTGCCTGCAGGCCTCCTGCGACTCTTGTGCGTATGGTGCTGTCTGAGCTATGAAGAAGCACCATATGCTTTCAATGTGGGCTCCGCTGAAATTGAAGCCTGTTGGGTCTAGCATTCGAGTGACTGCAACCCAGGCTTGCATGCATTCAACGCAACTGTCCACTTTCGGCGCCCGTGATGTGAAACCTCGTGGCACACAGCGCACTGGTGATGACTGCGACGCATTCGCTGCCAGCTGCCTCAACTCGGTTGCTCAGCCGGAGCACCTTGCACCCAGCAACATTCCTGTCTGGTCAATCAAGCGAATCTGCAAGGCTTTGGCACCGCCTGCAGCCGACCTCAATGCAATTACACGCCAACCTGACGGCACAAGAGGTCAAATTCAAGCCTCAAGCAAAAAGGCCTACAACTGCGCAGGGCGCAACTGGGGCACAAGTGATTCTCGAAAGCGCGCTTTCATTGCAGTTTCTCTGGAAGCGGAGTCATCGTCTTGTGCAATGCACATTGTCTAAGGTTGCCCTCATGCTGCGACGAGCACTTTCAGAAGCGGCCCCCAGAAGCAGGCAATGCTGGATAGACACACGTTGCATTGTTTGGGTTGAATGCGCTTTGTTCAAGTTTGCTTGTTGCGCACACTTAGTAGGGTTCGAGAACCTTTGCGCAGAACCTCTCTGACGGTGCACGGCCTGGCTTGTCCAGAGAGCGAGGCTTGGGCTTTGCTGACTGTTTCGTCCCTCTCCACGCATATTCTGCGTGTTTTGCTAGCTCACAATCAACTGCCTGGCTATCCTGTCGCAAAGGCGGGCCGTCACCATTGCAGGCTAAGATGCCAGGTGCCTTGCGGCTTGGGTGTCAACTCAACACTCTTTGCACTAATTTGCCTTGCCAATGCAGATGCAGGTCAACTAAGGGCTGTTGTTGTGAATAGCTTCATAGTGGCATGTGTCATGCCTTCCGGCTCAATGAACGAGGCAATCACATAGGATCAGCGGAAAACAAGCAATGCTTGGTTTGCATCGGGGCCAGATCACACCCTTGCCTGGCAAGCCAGGTCGAGAGTCTGGTCTTGCATTAGCTTGGCAGAGAATTGCTAAGTCTCATTCTGCGACGCTTTGGTTGACTAAGCCGAACGCCACCTGCTGGCTTTTGAGATGCAAATCCCTATCCAAAGCTGAAACTGCACATGAGACACCACGTATTCTGTGTGCCTGAGAGCCGTGGCTTTCTTTTGAGGGTCAGTCCTCGGACTCCTCGGAGTCCTTGGCCGTACCGCGCATGGCGAATGTGGGCCTTGGCCTCGTGCTCGCCCTTGTGGCCGGCACGACGGCGCTGGAACAGTTCCAGTTGCGGGTGGAGCGGGTTCAGCGCCAGCGGCCGCCAAAACCGGAGGCGCAAAATCTGCCTGGGGAACGGAACGGAATCACGAAGCTAAGCCTTCAGCGCACTCCAAGGCAAGTGGAATACGAATCTCTCTAGGTTTTCGCTCTCATTGCTTTCTGACTTTGCTGCAGAGACAAACATCCAATGATACCAGTTCACTCCTGTCCACCCACACTGTATGTGGGCAGCCTTGTCTGCTGCCGAGCCCTTGTGGACCTTTGGACTGGGCGGATGCAGCAAGTCTTCGTGCTGAACAAAATGGTCATACTCTTTGTCATACTGAGTCATACTCGTTGACCTCGGTCTCTGAGCAACGTCGCAGGGTTCCCAGCACGCCCATTTTTGAAACGGATGCCAGGTGCCTCACTTCGGCAACAGCAACCTCAGCGAATTTGTCTTCAACATTAGCAGTAACACCAAGGACTGGGCCAGCGCAGCATGGGTCAAGGGTGCCTTTCGTGGTGCACCAAAGTTTCAGGACTCAAAGGTCCAAAAGGTCCTTAGGGCGTAGGGCGTGTCAGCTTTCACTTTCATCGGCTGATCCTCCAGTGCAGAGACCGCCTTTCCAAAACCGAGTGTCTGGAAGGACCGCGGCCTGTGGCATTTCAAGCCCGAGGTTGTGCAGCTCAGCACACAAGCCAGGCTCACAAACGTGAATGACGTGCTTTACACCATAGAGGCCAGGAAAGTTGGTCTGGAGTAGTGCATTGATTTGTTTGAGAGTTGACTTTCCAGTTGCGCAGCCGCCAAGAGTGTGTGTTGGAGGCAAGTGAAGGGTCACACCGGCTACATGTGTACGCTCATGTTCTGTCGTCTTCAACACAGTCGTATATGCAATCCACGAGGAAGAGCTAATGTTGTGCAGCGTCATGTTATCCCAAATATCTGATTCGCATTACGTCTTGTTTTCTTGTCGGGAGTCTCTGCCTCAAAGATGGGTTCATGGACATGCTGCAATTTTGCGCGTCCTCTAAACAAGAATCCCACCTTAACCTGGCAGATCCTGTTGGATCACGCAGCGCTCCGCTTCCATTCTTGCGTTTGTTGCGAACGCCTGCCCGAAGTTCTTTCTTTGTTGCGTGGTGCAGCGTATTTCACTGCGTTATGCTCGTGTTCTTTGTGCTGGTTGTGCAGTTGCATACGTTCGGCAATGCCATAGTCTGTACGTGCTCGAATGTGCAATGTTTGGCAACGGTGCAAACTGGAATTCGGTGGCTCTGCGAGCTGCCGTTTCAGTAATTTGCGCGGTTTACTCTCACTGTCCTTCTGAGTTCCTGAGTTCCAACACACTGCCATCGAAGTATGTTTGCTACTATGGTTTTTAGTTGCATGCGTTTGATTTTTTTCAGACCTGCACACGTACACACAAAGGCGCACATATATATTTCTACACATTCGTATTTCAGAGGGTGCCTATTTCTTCATGCATGTAGTTGAAGCCTCAGGAAATACAGAGTGTCAAACATTTGCACCCATGCGCTCCTTCAGTCAAGTGGCAATCCAAATGCAAGCCAAACCGTTGTCAATCGAGTGAAGCCACAGCATAGAGTGTCATGCTAGTTTTTTGTCCTCCGGGCAAATTTTCTCTCAACTTGGTTGCAGCGATTTGCAGTTCCACAGCGGAACTGCGCAGCTGCGGAGGCCAAGGTTGGCACTCCACCCGCACCTGCACAGCTGGTGGTTGACACAGGCCGGCTGCTGCACAACTGCTGCACAACGTAAGAGGTGCGACTTTCCTAGACTTGTGCCGTACGGCCATACCTGGTAGCTAATTGGATCATGCCAGAAATATTAAGCTACATGGCTTTTTGTGTTCTCAGGAAAGTTCTCTTAGTCGGTGAGTTGGAGTATTTATTTGGAAATGGGGTCTTGAATCAGTAATCAGGGGACGGCTGGGTTGCAAGCAACCCAAGAATGCGTGGGATTGTTGGCCATGCAAGTTTCTGCCCAGGCTCCAGCGATCTCTGGATCAAGCAGACGGTGCTTTTTTCGAACTCTGGTGTGGCCCAGCAAAAAAGGGAGGGACATGTCGGACCCATACCGCACTATACTGCACTTGCTGGCAATTCCAACCATAGACTGTTTGTTTGCTTCCCACCCTGGCGCAATTGATGGCACTGACCCCTGATTGACTCCTTCAACCTGCGCGCTTGTGCAGGAGTATTGACTTGCTATCCACGCCATGGTAGGTCAGCTAGCACTCAGCATAGTTCATGCATACGAAAGAGAAGCGGAGCGCAAAGGCATCTACACGCAGGTCCCAAAGTTCACTTAGCCGTTTTCATTTGCATTGAATGGAGCACTTGTACATGTTGATACAATCCCATTCTTTCAAGCGTAGAGCACAAACTTAATTGCCGGGGAATGCAAGATTGAACAACACTTTGCTGAGCACGGTTGGCGGGCTGGCGCAGTCGGCCAAGTTCACGAAGTGAATTTAGCTACTCTCACTGCATCAAATCTGGTCGCTTTGTACGGATTCGCAAAGCTCGGCACGAGGCCAAGCTGCCCAGCAACCTTCCCGTTTGGCGCATGCCCGACGGGTCCGTGCTGGTAAGGGAGATTGTGCTGAGGCCTGGTGGGCCGGGGCCAGTGCTTCTGCTTCTGATGCTTCTGCAGGGCCAGACTTGCCAGGCCCAGAGTTTCTTCCTATTTGTTGCTTCCACAAATCAAAGATCAATCCAGAAAGACAGAAAGAGTCTTTGCATTCACACACACACACATGCAACAGAGAATTGAACAATCTTGCCCGGGGTGACCCCCGCAGCAGGAGTTGGACACGAAGAGATACGGGCAGAGTGGTGCAGCCAACTTCAATTAGTTTTCTTGGGATTGCAGGTCTATGCCTGTGAGCAGGGCATGTGGAACGAGTCATGCAGGACCCGTTTCTGTCATTATGTTCCTGCACTCAAGGCAGTAGCTTTTCTGCAAAGACTAGCGTGTAAGGGTGTCCGGGAGTTCTTTGAGCACTTTTGCTGGCGCTGCCCACTCCCATTTCAATACTTGTTTTGCACAAACACCAGATTCAATGAGGGTCAGTAGTGATCATCGAGAGGCACTGAACCACCTTCACTGAGCGAAATTCAAGGCAGATGGCAGAAATGGCACGTGTTTGATTACGAAGACTGCAATGCGCAATCCACTGATCTTTCGAAATTGGTTCTAGCAGCACTAGGTACGGCTTGGGCACAGTGCTGGCCATTCCCCTCATCGAGAAGCGCCTTTGCATCGGCCAGCTTTGTGTGAAGAACCAGGACGTCCTGGCAGCTGCTCGGCCCAACAATTTTGAGAGAGGCCAATCCAGCAATCAATAGATTTGGAGCGCACGTTGGAATCGTAGGAGGGAGGACCTGAAATTTGCCAGGCCATGAAGATCATCGATGTCAGCAGCGTGGCACGTTTCGACGGATTGATCGGCTTGGCGCTTCCTGTGGGTTCCCAGAACAGGCGCAGATGTCGCACGTGTTTTTAGACATGCGATCAAGGCCCCGTTGTGAGCCCGGGTTTGATATGGCGTGACATTTGTGCTGGTTCTGCAATGCTGCAAGGGCAACGGGCTCCATGCTGTCATTCTAGTATTCACTGCATGCCAGCTTCAGCAACGTGACCTTCCTACAGCGCTTGCAGATGCAGCACAGCCACCTGGCAAAACGAGCCGCGACTGGACCAGCCTTTTGATTCTTTCACTAATATCGATTCTTTTGGTTTTGGTGTCATCACGAAAGCTAGCTTATCTAACTGCCGTCTCTGCTTGCATAGTGAGCTAACAGGTTCAGAGTTCACAGATTCATTCTTGCGATAACAACACGGCTGCTCGGATTATTGATTATGTGCTGGCGCATCACGTCCACGTCACGCCATGTGAGTTCACGACAGTACATTGACATCACCTTTCATCGCACCACATATCCCACCACACCACACCACACCGCACGACACCACACCACACCGCACGTGCGCGCGTACGCGTGCACACACCGCAGACATGCATGCACACACACGCATACACGCACGCACGCGCACAGGCGCACACGCAAACACGCACATGCGCACACACCTGTACACTACGAACGTGCGAGCGCACGCACGCGCACATAAAGACACGCGCGCACGCACGCACGTACGGACGTATATGTGCACAAACGTGGGCGCACAAACGCAGACACACACGCACACACACACACACACGGACAGACGCACACAAACACACACACACACACACAGACACACACACACACACATTCACACACACATTCACACACAAACATTCACACACACATTCACACACACAAACACACAAACACACACACACAGACACACACACACACAGACACACACACACACACACAAACACACACACACACACACAAACACACACACAACCACACACAAACACAAACACAAAAGCACACACACACACCCACACGCACACACCCACACACACACACACGCA